TGGAGATGTGTGGGGAATCAACTATGAGGCCCTGTGGAGGTGAGCAAGCACAGCTGTGTGTGCTATAATGAAAGAGGTTTCAATTGTATAGATATTGTCGTGACTTAGCTGAGAAAGTAACATTTAAAGATCAGTATTATATGACTCAACAGAATGACATTCTTTTTGTTTTTGGCCAGTCCTGGGGCTTGAACTCCGGGCCTGGGTGTTGTCCCTGAGCTCTTTTGCTCAAGGCTAGTGCTCTATCACTTTGAGACACAATGCCACTTTTTTTTTTTGGTGGCTAATTGGAGATAAGAGTCTCTGGGACTTTCCTGCCCAGGCTGGCTTTGAACTGTAATCCTCAGATCTCAGCCTCCTGAGTAGCTAGGATTACAGGGGTGAGCTACCAGTGTCTTGCTGAGATATACATTTTTTTTTTTTTTTGGTTGGTTGTGGGTCTTGAACTCTGGGCTTGGGCGCTATCCCTGCGCTCTTCAGCTCAAGGCAAGCGCTCTACCGCTTGAGCCACAGCACCACTTCCAGTTTTCTAGTGGTTTATTGGAGATAAGAGTCTCATGGCCTTTCCTGCCTGGGCTGGCTTTGAACCTCGATCCTCAGATCTCAGCGTCCTGAGTAGCTAGGATTACAGGCATGAGCCACCAGGCGAAATACACATTTTATTTTTAATTTTTTTTTACATTTTTTAAATTGTGAAAATACCATACAGAGAGGTTACAATTACATGGACAAGGTAATGAGTACGTTTCTTTTCAAGCATTGTTGCCTCCTCCTTTGTTTCCCCTTCCCATCCCTTCCCATCTGAGATATACATATTTTTGAGGACACTTATTTGTAAGTCCAATAAATCTGGGAAGTGCTTAAAGCTGTATGTTAGATTAAAAAATGGAGAAGAGTATTTCTAAAAAAAGTCTTATTTCTTGATATGTTTTTCAGGCCAGGCTAGGGGAAAAACAGGTTTGAATACAAATCCTTGAAAATATACACTCTTGAACCTCATTTCACTTGTACCCTTCCTGAAGTCATGAGGGGAGGGGCAGAGTAGAGCAAAAGTGTGGAATAATACAATTGGTCCTTCCCCTCTGTGATGCCAGGTTTCTTTAGCAATGCTGAGGCTGGGGGGTGAAGAAGCATGGATTTTCATGTAAAAATTATTTTTCTAAAAGTTTATTAAATAGATAACTAGGAAAAAAGTTTTCTACTGTCCATCCCAGATTTGTCAATCAAATGGATGAATGTAAGTGAGCGTGCTAGTAGAATGATCAGTGATTTAGTTTTCATACCAAACAAAAGCCACCATGATCAACAGCTCCCTCACAAACCATTTTCTTGTGGAAACACTAGTCTTTCTGATCAGTTAGGCCTGCAGAACTTGTTAACTGATGACTGCCCAGCTTTCAGTGTGCTCTGCCCAGCGGAGAGCTTAGCACTTCTCATAATGCTTAAGAAATAATCTCTGTCTCTTTAACGGACAGAACCTTCCATGAGCTAATTGTTGTACACAAACTGGCATCTGGCCTAAAATGGAGGGGGCCAACTGGGTTATGTTTTACTTCAGAACAAATTCCATTTTATTTCATTGCAATGAATACAACAGCTAGACCGAGACATGCCAGTCTCTCAGTGCTCCTCAACCATTTGCTTGAATGACTGAACTCGAGTTAAGATCACATGGCACATCAGCTCTAAGTAGATGAATATTTACAAATATTCTTCCTCCTTATTTTGCATATTTCCGCCTAATCTCTTCTAAATCAGTGTCTGTTAAATAGTCTCTTTAGAACAGGAATGCAAATTTCAGCAGTTTATTCTGCAGTGTTTATAGATGACTAATTATGAAGCTTTACCTTGTGAAATCTCACTTTCACATAATACATTAAGTTCGTATAAATGAATAAATTGTCTGCACACAAAATTGTGTATGCACTGTCAACTTAAAAAGCATCATTTCTCACAAGCCATTTGTAAAAACACTGCTGTTTCCATGTGAAGTCTCTGATCAGCTTCTACATTCAGCCAGTGTTGACTTTTTCAGAGAAGTGAAAAGATACCGGACAACTAGCAACTAGGAAATGTTGAGAACCAACTTGCCAAATCACACACACGATTATGCAAGCATGTTTCACAGTAAAAACATACCAGGGGCAGGTTCTTCTCCCTCCCTCCTTCCTCCCTCCTTCCCTTGTCCCCAATCTCCCTTCTTTTCCTCCTCCCTCCCTTCCTCCTCTCTCTTTCCCTTTCCTTCTTTCCCTTTCCTTTCCCCCTTTCTTCTCTTCCTTTCATTTACTTTTCGTTCCTTCTTTATTTCCTTACTTCCTTTATTCTTTCCTCTACTCCTTCCTTCCCTCCCTCCCTCTTTCCCTTTCCCTTATTTCCCTTCCCTTCCCTTCCTTCCTTCCCTCCCTCTCTCCCTCTTACCCTTCCTTCTTTCCTTCCTTCCTTCCTTCCTTCCTTCCTTCCTTCCTTCCTTCCTTCCTTCCTTCCTCCCTCCCTCCTCCCTCCTTCCCTTCCCTTCTTTCCCTTTCCCTTTCTTCTCTTCCTTTCATTTCCTTTTGCTTCCTTCTTTCTTTCCTTCCTTTATTTTTTCCTCCAGTCCTTCCCTCCCTCCCTCCCTCCTTCCCTCCCTCCCTCCCTCCCTCCCTCTCTTCCTTCCTTCCTTCCTTCCTGCCTTCCTTCCCATTTCTTTTTCTAGCTTCTTTCATTTACAAAGTAAGGTGCTAGTTTATAATGAATTGTCCTGATGTCTATGACACTTCACATTTAACATTTATCAGTTTTGTTTAGTTGGTCGTACAATTCTAGGTACAAATAACTTTTTAGGGTTCTTTTGTATTGGACTTAAATTATCTTTATGAATCATTTCCCTTTAGAATATGAACTCCACAAAGATAAAGCACTTGGTTTACTTTATTCTTTTCTGTTTTCTGGGAACCTGGTAGGATTGGCCCCCAGTAAACAAGTGTGACAACAGAGGTAACTGTCATTGAATGTATAAAAGGAGAGGAAATGTTAGTGGCGCAAATTGGACGTGGCAGCACATACAATGAAGTCATTGACCAAGCGGAATTGCTTTGCCTTTGTAAAGGATGCTGTATTTATCAAGTAATTTTCACTCTTTAAAGCCCTTGGTGTAGTTGATCTTATTCAGCAGATGATGTGGCAAGCAAGCATGATTATTTTACTAAGATACTCAAACTAGAAAGATGAAATCATATGCCCTGTGCCCTGTCTCAGACAGGTCCTGAGGTCTTTGTTCCTGCTCCACCATTCTTACATATTGGAGAGGCCTAGGGGTGTAGAGTGACCAAAAATATGGCACTCATCTTTTTATTTTTACTTTTTTGCTGGTCTGGGGCTATGCACTGTCACTGAGCTTTTCACTCAAGGCTGATATTCTACCACTTGAGCCAGAGGTTCAATTCTGGCTTTCATTTTTCTGTGGAGGGCGATCAATTGGAGATAAGAGTATCTCAAGACTTTCCTACCTGGGCTGGCTTCTAACTATGATCCTCAGATCTTAGCTTCCTGAGTAGCTAGGATTTTGGGCATGAGCATTGGCACCCAGCTCAGCTGGTATATTTTAACTGAAATTCTTAGCATATTATTTTTGAATGTTAGGTAGATAGTCTTTTCCAGTCTTAGACTCTGCCTATTCATGCAGAGTCATGTGTGAGTATGAAACTTTAATCATCCCAAATCGTTTTTTATTTTATTTTTTTTGGGGGGGTCCAGTCATGGGCCTGAACTCTGGGCCTGGGCACTGTCCCTCAGCTCTTCAGCTCAAGGCTAGCGCTCTACCACTTGAGCCACAGCGCCACTTCCGGCTTTTTTTTCTGCTTATGTGGTACTGAGGAATAGAACCCAGGGCCTCATGCATGCAAGGCAAGCGCTCTACCACTGAGCCATCTTCCCAGCCCTCTTATTTTCATTTTTAAGATACACATTCTCTAATAGGTGATTGGAAATGAAACTAGCTGAATCCCAACAACCAGCTGGTTAGTCAACACAGGCTAGGGATGAGCAGTTTTCATGGATCTGATTGCTTAAATTCAGCCATCATTATCTCCCAACCTAGCTCACATAAGAGGTGACATCCAGTCAGCCTGGAAATTTCCTTTCTGGTTGGCCATTCTTGTGTTCTAGGAGGGAATTCTGTCTCTGGGTGGAGAAGAAGTGTTCGACAAGAAGTGAGGAGTTTATACCTAGCAACAGGAACCTGAGATTCTCACATTGTCTCTGACATGTGTCCTAGGGCTTCCTTGTATCTCCTGGTGTCTTCCTATGCCCTGCTATGTCCTCTCCCCACTTCTACTATGGCAGTGAATATGTAGAGTCTCCACTGTGGGTGCCTTTTCCTTGCGGAGCCCAGATACTTCGACAGCCAATGTCTCTTTGACATGACGTGTCTACACTGGCTTCTCTCCTCCAAGTAGGCTCCATCTCTCCCACTCCGCAGCTGAAAGGACCAGCGGTGACAGCTTCTTCTCTGTACGGATGCATTGGCCCTTACTGTGTTAAGGATGACAAAGAGAGGGACTCTCTTTACTCATCTACCTCAAGTGGCTTATTTGGTGGGCTGGGTTGGTTTCACAGTCTAAATTTTACAGCTATGTTCTTGAAAATGAGGTGTGGGAAAAGACACTCATTCATGGAAATCAAGAGATATGTGTGTGGAGGTGGTTTTGGGGCAGGCTCACTACACCACCGTGTTTAATACGGTTGATCTAGGTAATCATGGTGGTCATTGAGCTCTCTGAACCCTGTATTAGTTTTCTTTGTCATATCTTCAGGTTGTTGAGACAATCCTTGGCTCCTGAGATCAGGTAAACACTAACATTCCTTTTTTTTTTTTTTTTTTAAATGATCTTTAAAGTAGTTGTACAAAGGAGTTACCACTCAGCAAAGCAGTTACCACTCAGCAAAGCAGTTTATGAATACAAAGCATCTTGGTCAATGTCAGCCCTTTCCACATTCCCTTAGGAAAAGCAAACAATGATTACCTTTGGTCATGACAATCCCAGCCAGTGATTTGTGGCGGGCATGCACAGACGTCAGGCCAACGGTCAGCTCCCGGAACTTCTGTGTGACCAGCTGGAACACCGAGTCGGCAAATTCCTGAAAAACATAACACCAGGGCTCTGAGGGGCTGACCAGCAGCAGCAGCAGCGAGTGGATAGCTGCTTCTCACAGCCTTCTCTCAGCCACATCCTTGTGAGTGTGTCCAGGCTTGCCTGGCACCGAAGACAACTCCCCAGGGTCCCCCAAAGCATGTCTGCATCTTCTATCCATGGTGTAGGAAGGCAGAAACCCAGACCCATGCTTGAGCAGGTGTCTGTCCTGTCCCTGGGTCAGCTGCCTTTGAGAGCCATGTCTCCCTGCCTTTGTCTCTCTGAGCAGCAAGTGTGTCACCAACTGGATTGGAAGAGTCTTGTGAAGACTGGCCATGACTTTCTTTTCAATCCCACAGACCAGTCTTTAAGTACCCAGGATGTCTCGGGGTGGTCTGCCAGCAAACACCTCCCACTGGTTCCCACCGCAGACTCTTCTCTGTGTTGTGACATGCAGTCACAACACACAATGCACACACATGCATGCGCACACAGGTGCATGCACACCAAACTAATAGAGTCCTTTACCGACCTGTCCTAAAAGCCAGTCCACAACTCTGTTAAAGCAGCATGTGTACAGGAGCAAAGCCAGACTAGCCTGGAATGTGTGGGGGCTGTGGCACTCCCTTCTCTTCCTCTTCCAATCCTGTGCCCCAGACACTGTCTTTTCCTAAAGGTGGAGGCTCCTGGCTTTCCAGCTTGGTTCCTGTTACTGTCACAGGCCTTGGAGCAGGAAGCCAGGCTGGAGTCCCCGAACATAGGGCTCTGTAGCCTATGAACCTGGGCAAGTGATTCAAAACCTTCCAGCATTGTTTTCCTCATTTACAAAGTAATCCTCTTAATTTCCATCTCACAGTGTTTTTGTGAGGATTAATTAATTAACTAATGCTTCTTCAATGCTTAACACAGTGCCCCATACTTGATAAGTGTTCAAAAACGATGCCTTAAATGATTATTCTTCATCATAGCATCATTATTTCCCCCAGTGACTGCAGGTGCTGACCAGATCTTTATGTAGCCACATCCAAACCTTCAGCATAGCTGTAGAGCTCATTTGTTTTATGAACTGGATCTTCATGTTTATACTGGGTACATTTCACTATTGAACAGACATCGATATAGAGGTGGTCAGGTTTCTGGTGTATAAACATATAAGAAATGAGTAGGTAGTTATAAAAAATTCATTAGTACTCAGTAAAACCATAAAACAGGGCTGCCTCTAGAAAACTAGAGCCTGCCACAAAAGGAACCCAATATCCTCTTCCCTCCTAATTCTTCGGTGATAAAGAGGTCAGCAGGGATCACTGGGCCCCTCTTCTGAGCCCAGCAAGAGGCTCTTGGGGCTTTTCTGGGCTGCTGTTCCTCTTGTGGTGCCTGCGTGTAGCCTTTGAAATGTCAATGTCATAATAAGCACCGAGTCCCCACAGCGCACATGGATGGCTGTGCAAGTTGGGTTTCCCTTACCTGGGTGTAATGCTGGGGAGAGAGGAGGGAGGGTAAGTACTGAGGTTTGGGGGACTGTTACATATTTGTGGATCTCCCCAGCAATTTTTTTCTACCCATTCTTCTTGGCAAGAGGCCATCATTTCTAGGTGGCTGAGGCAAAGATGTGGAGTTTTGGAGACAAGTCTCAGAGGATGGTCAAGGCTGTCCTGTCTTCTCACATCCAGAAAACTGACAGCTAGAACCAGCATCCTGCATCTGAGACACCTTGTACACAGTGTCCTGGTGTTGTCAGCGAGATGGGGGTGATCGTGCACCTCTGTAATCCCAGCTAAGTTAGAGGTGGCGGCAAAAGGACAGGTCAAAGGCTAGTCCTGGCAAAAGCATGAGATACTAGCCAAAAAATAAACAGAAGCAAGAAGGTCTGTAAGTGTGGCTGTAGAGGTAAGACTCCTGTCTTTTTTTTAGCTTCTCAGACTCTGGGTGTCTCTGGGCTTTCAGTTGCACAGCCTGAGCTGTTGGGATTGTCTTTCCATGACCTTCTCAACCACATTTGTACCTTTCCCTCTGTTATCTCTCTTTTGCCATTAGATTTGCAACCGGTCTGGATAATGTAGGATGAGCTTATCTGAAAAAAACCCTTAACTTGATGACACCCGCCAAGACTCCCCAAATCCATCCCTGTTTTGGGGCTGGCTGTGTCTTTTGGGGGCCCTCGTACAGCTTACCACACCCAGCCAGTTGCTTTTCCATCTCATTTGTTTCTTTTTCCCCCTTCCTTTTATTGAAAAATAAAGTTAGCTATATTTCACGCCCCCCCCCCCCCCCCCCGCATATGGCTAATTCCTGTTTGTTTTGGAGGAACCCATCTTTTGATCGGAATGAGAGGGAGAAGGGTTGATCTGATGGTTTCTTGGGGATGCCCCAATCACAGCACGGTGGCCAGGAGTGTTCACAGGGGCACCCAGTAGTCAGGAACCTCCACTATGGTCCTTGGTGCTCCCAAGATGGGTGGCTTTATCCCCATCTAAGACAAGGATTGATGACGAAGCCCAGCTTTCCCTCAGTGTGGGAGCCCAGCGAGACCCTCTCACACCACCTGTCTCCCTTGAGGACTTCAAGCCTAGCTCTGAGCTGGTGTCTGGAGGGGACCCACAGGCAGGTCAGTCTGTAGCACTCCCCCCAGCCAGGTTCACAGAGGACACGAAGATGGTAGAGAGGCATAGGAGACCTCTGCCATCATGTCAAGTTTTGTCTGTCAGTGAAGAGACAACGTGAGTGGCTCTTTCCTCACAGGTCCACCTGGTGGGCTTACTCCACAGGATCTCTATCATCAAGGATTCTAGGAGTCCAGATTTGTAGGGGGCGGCTCTGACTTGGATGCCAGAGACATATGCAGTTCTGTACCCTGTAAGGCTTTGTTGTCTGTGGTCTTGGACTTAGCTGAGATGTGCAATGAGGATTTATGTCTTCCGCCCTGAGCTTGAGGCACACACCCCTAACTGTCACCAGGTAAGAGAGTCCAGGAAGGCTTGGTCTGAAGGTGACATTGGCAGTGGACCAGAAGGAAGAGAAAGAACGTGGCTCTCCTCCTTCAGGTTAGTCTCATCAAGCCAGCAAGGATCCAAGCCAGTCTCTGTTCTATTGACAGAAGTATCCTGAGCTGAATGGGGAATGACAGCTCCACCCAGGAGGTGGAGCTTCCTGTGTGTGGAGTTATTTTCACGGCCTGTCACTTGGTCCTGCTGTCTCTTGACTCAGTTTCTAATTGATCACGATTGCTAATCTCCATTCCCCAAGACTGTCCCTGCTTCAAGGGCAGAATCATCGATGGTTCTTCTAAAATCCCTTTTGTAGGATCGGTTACCTAAATTATGTTTTTAGCCGTCCTTTACTTCTTTCTCAAAGTTTTCTAGTGTTCCAGGATTGTAAGAATAGCCACACAGAGAATGCATTTAATTCCCCAAAGCCCTCAGGGCATGATGCCCCCAAATCTCCAAGTAATTACATAGAATACTTGAAAACTGACTTCATTTTTGAAACCTAAAGATGGTTCTCCTTCCCTTGGGATATGAGAAAATACCCATACAGTACAGCAATGTGCTAGGCATGATGTTGGGTCGTGTGTATGCATTGTGCCATTTCATTTCATTCCTATAAGAAAGATACTAAGATCTAAGATCATCTTTTTCCCCAGCCTGGTCCTGGGGCTTGAACTCAGGGCCTGGGTACTGTCTCCGAGCTTCTTTTGCTCAAGGCGAGCACTCTTATCACTTGGGCCACAGTGCTACTTTGGGACTTTTCTGAATAGTTTATTGGAGATAAGAGTCTTATGGACTTCATTGCCTGGGCTGGCTTTGAATCGCGATCCTCAGATCTCAGCCTCCTGAGTAGCTAGGATTACAGGCGTGAACCACCATCACCCAGCTAAGATCATCATCCCTTTTAACCATTGAAGTGATGTAAACCAATTTACACAACCAGGATGTGGTATACATGGGACCACAGATCTGACTCACACCTTGCATGGGTGACCACTGCTCTGAGGAAAGCAGGATTCATCCTGTCCTGAAGACCCCCACCAGCTGCCTTCCCTCTGGACGCAGAACGAGCGATACTGTTTGTAGTGGCATGTGAGCAAATGCACGCTGTCATCTTGAGACAGGCCACAGTGCACACCGATGCCTCAGGGTCCCTGGATGTCCTCCAGGCCTGCATCCCAGGATGCTTTGCAACCATTATGAGCTAATTAGCCCTGAGCCATAGCCATCTCTTAATGGAGTCATTTGAGGAAATGCTGAAGCAGAACAAATCACATTTGGTTTGGGTTTTAGAATTTGCACAGATGAAGAATTCCTTGACTTCCTTGGCTCAGCAAAGCCCAGGACCAATGGGATTTGAGGTAGACTGCACCATTGGAGAGTGACAGGGCTTTCTGGCTAGCAGAAGTAGGCTCGAATGGAGCAAAGCAGCATGGTTGATATTTCTGGTGGGGAGATCTCCTTACGCAGAGGTCTCCTGGCCTGACACAGCTGACAACTCTAAGGCCACCATCCTTGGCACTGTCTACTCGTTCTGGCATCATGGTTCAGTGGAAACTATGCTTCTCCTCACTCGGCCAACACATAGGCATACCACTGAACCCCAACTCATTTATTCATTCATCTCTTATGCAGTCCTTTGCCTCTAGTCTCTTAAAACCTATCCTCAACAACAACAAAAGCAGATTCTTTTTTTAAATGCATTTAAAAAAACTCAGCAAACACTTACCCAGAAGGTGCTATTTGCCAGGCAAGTGGGGTTAGATTCCACACCCCTTCTTTGCAAATACCAATGTCTTTAAATCATCCAAGAATTAGATCAGAATTTGGACCCATACTCAACAAAAATAACAAAATTGTGAGTCTCACATCAGTCTTGGATGGAGTAAGCACTGAGTAAATACTTTGGAAAACATAGGCGAATTGGGCTGCACTTTTTATCAAGTAACAGCAAAAGAACACTGAGGAACAATAAGATACTTCCACAGCGTATTAACTGCTGCCTAGCTTGGAGCAGTAAGAG